AAGACTCTGTTTCCTCCCACTCCAATATCTGTTGCTATTGATTAGCAACAAATAAATAGACCTTGACCTAAATCTCATACCTTACCCAAAACAGATCATAAATTTAAATGGAAAATGTAAAACTATAATGCTTTTCGGTGAAAAAAAAAAAAACAGGAGAAAATCCGTGGGAGCTAGCGGTAGGCAAGGACTTCTCAGACTTGACACTGAAGCACAATTCATAAAAGATAATTTTTTTTTTTTGAAATTGACCATCATCAAAATTAACAACAGTTACTGCGTGAAAGCCCATTATCAAGAGGATGAAAAGACAAGTTACACACTGGGAGAAAATATTTACAAACTATACAAGCAACGAAGGACTGACCCACAGTGTATAAAGAACTCCCCAAATTCCACAACACTAAAATGAATAATCCAATTAGAAAATGGTCAGAGACACGGATGGACAACTCACCAAAGAGGATATACAGATGGCCGATAGCACATGAAAAGACGTTCAACATCACTAGGCATTAAAGAAATGCAAACTAAGATCATAATGGGATATCACTACACATCTTTCAGAAAGTCTAAAATAGAAAGATAGAGGCAACACCAAACGCTGGCAAGGAGGCCGAAAACTGGATCACTCATACATTGCCGGTGAGAATGCAAAACAATACAGCCAGCCACTCTGGCAGTTTCTGATAAAACGAAACACATAATTACCATACAACTCTTCAATTGTACTCTCGGGCATTTATCCCAGAAAAATGAAAACATGTTCCCGCAAAAACCTGTAGATGGATGTTCACAGAAGCTTTACCTGTGGTAGCCAAAAACTAAAGCCAGTCCAGATGTCCTTCAACGAGTGAATGGTTAAAAAAAGCTCTGGAATTTCCACACCGTGGAATCCCACTCAACAATAAAATGGAATGAACTATTGATACATACAACAACTTGAATGAAAGTCCAGTAAATTATGCTAGTAAAAAAAAGGTCAATCCCAGTGCCAAGATAATTCAAGTGGGAAAGCAAAGTCTTTCCAACAAACGGTGATGGTACAAGGAAAAGAATGATGATGGGCCTCTTCCTCACACCACATACAAAACTTAACTCAAAATGGATCTAGGACCTAAAATTTAAGAACTAAATTTTATAGTTTTATATAAAACTCTTAGGGAAAAAAAAACATAAGGGTTAATCTTCACGATTTTGGATTAAGCGATTTGGTTTCTTGAGTATGACATCATGACCTCAAAAGCGCAAACAACAAAAGAAAAAATTAGATAAATTGGGCTTCAAAATTGAAAACCTTGTGCTTCAAAGGTTGCCATCAAGAAAGAGAAAGGCAACCGCAGAAGGGAGAGAATATTTGCAACCACATTTGATGAGATTCTAGTATCCAAGGCAGGGCACGGTGGCTCCTGCCTACTATAATCCCAGCACTCTAGGAGGCAGAGGTGGGCGGACCGCTTGAGCTCACAAGTTCGAGACCAGCCTAAGTAAGAGTGAGACCTCATCTCTAAAAAATAGCCAGACATTATGACAAGCACCTATAGTTCTAGCTACTCCAGAGGCTGAGGCAAGAGAATTTGCCTGAGCCAAAGAGTTTGAGGTTGCTGTAAGCTATGACACCATGGCACTCAACCCCAGGGCAATAAAGTGAGACTTTGTTTCAAAGAAAAAAACAAGAGTCTAATATCCAGAATATATAAAGAACTCTTATAACTCAATAACAAAGAAACAAATAACCGAACTTAAAATGGGTTATTTTTAAGGATCTGAATATACATTTCTACAAAGATCTAGAAATGGCCAATAATCACATGAAAAAATGCTTATCATCATCAGCCATCAGGGAAATGCAATTCAAGATCACAATGAAATAATCATTTCACACCCACTAAAACAGTTATAATTAGAAGACAGCGATGTGCCCAGGAGCTCACATGTAATCCCAGCTACTACTCAGAAGGCTAAATTGGGAGGAATGCTTTGAGGTCAGGAGTTTGAGGCTGCAATGAGCCATGATGGTGCCACTCCACCCTGGGTGCCAGAGTGAGACCCCCATATCTAAAAATAATAAATAAATAATAAATAAGATAAAGTGCATCTCTTAAAAAAAAAAAAAAGACATTGTAAGTGTCAACAAGCATGTAGAGAAATTGGAACTCTCATACACCGCTGGTAGGAATAGTAAAATGGTATAGCTGCTTTAGAAAACAGTCCAACGGGTTCCTCAAAGGTTAAACGCAGAATTACCATATGATACATATGGTACACACCCAAGAGAAATGAAAACATATGTTCACATGAAAACTAGTACATGAATATTCATAGCAATAGTGTTTCAGAGTAGCCAAAAAAGTATAAAAACCCAAATTGACGGAAATAAAACATGGTATATTTATATAGTGGGACATCATTCGGTAATAAAAAGGAATGGAGTACTGATACTTGCTACAACA